CATATCTATAACTGAAATCGAAATTGTTAAAAAAAATATTATGCAGTAAATTGATCGCCTTTTTTCAGTTTGTTCGTTGTCATTCAATTTCATTTCCTGTTATTACTCTCTCTTGAGTCGAATCTGCACACGATTCTGCTCCCAATTGAAGAAACCCTTTTCGAGATAGCAATCTGTGCCCATATATCTAGCATCTGTTATCTGTAATGTGACAAGGAAATATTTATGTCGGCAGACAGGATTTTGATAGAAACCTATTTAACATCTTCTGGCTTATTTATGTCTTGACAATGAACAAAATTGACAAAGATAACAAGAGCAGATTAGATGTAGGAGAATAAATTACTAAATAGAAAGTTACAGGAAACATCATGGATCAAAATGGAGAAATACAATGTAATTTACGAAAAGACAAGACCGGGCTAGGAGTTTTGTTCTCTAATACGCATTCGGGCGGATTTTTTAAAACTGACATGTGCTCGCTGGCGGGCGCCTGCGTTAAACAGGGAAATGCCCTGTGTATTAAGGGCGACTGCCCTAATTTAGACCACATCACCCATCGAGTGCAGTAGCATGTCCTTTGCAGAACCTTGTTCCCACAACAACCCTCCAGAAAACTTCTCCATCACTAGCAAGATGTCCCGCGTCCGATACACCCATATAGAGATCATCCGCCACATCCTGTACCCATCTTCTCTTTGGCCTTTCCCTTCCTCTCTTCCCAGGCATATACTCCTCCACTATTGTTCTCTCTAAACTTTAGCGACGTTTCAAGCGACTAAAATATTTCAATTTTCGGTGTTTTTGTTTCTTGGCAAGATTTGCAGAAGGTAGTTTGTCATTGATTTTCTTCTGGGCAGTGACTGTACTAGTCAGTGGCCATAACGATAGTCTCTATTGATGAGTGCCTGACCATAACCAACAATAATCTGTCGGCCTCTCTCCCACTCTATGCACCACCTGCTTCCATGGCTTCAGGTAACCCTGATCGAGTGCAGACTGGTATATTACAGATTGGTCTCCACACTACATATTTACTGCGCCAACATTTCGCTTCTTCATATTTGACTATCCATATTCCAGTCAGTCATATTTGACCATGTCTTCTTCTCACAGTCTATGCAATGTGACGTGGATTGTCCTGTCTGTCCACAACCTTCTGTGGCTATATTGTCAAACACATATGACACTGATTATTTTGAATTTCATGATGACAGACTGTCCAGCATATTCTCTCTCCGTTTCCCTCTGCCTCTTCTCCCCTCCAGCTTTCCCACCATCACTGTGTACGCCAGTTTGTTTCTCTCTCATTGCAGGACCAAACAATGTAGTCTCATTAAGATGTGGGCAATCAAGTTTCTTCTTAAGTCAGTTTCTTTTAAGACGACATCTTTATTGCTCATTTGATATGCAAATGGTGCTCTCGTCATTCTTTTTTAAAACCACATCGTCACTTTTACATCATTTTTCATAAACTGGTCCAAATGTTAATGATTCGCCTCCGTCTTTTATGACATAATCTTCAAAGCTCATGAGAACTCTCTTTCTCGTGACAGTTGCAAAGATGACATGGAGTATTATAACAAACACTTACATATGATCCCGAACGTTCTAATCCTTCACACATGTTCCAGTCACACATATTTGATCCTGAACGTTCCAATGACAGACAGTTGCCATGTTCATTTAAACAGTTCATATTTAGTTTGGGAACATTTCGACAAGTCATTGCAACATTCCTCCTCCCACCCCCTCTCCCCATCCACCACATACACCCCCCCCCCCCCCCCTCCCTTTTTACCATATCTTGCCACTGTTTCTACTTACTGTTTGAGCAGTGCTTCCATCGCTTGCTCCACAGACCGCTGTGAGTACCTCTTCATGTACTCATACATATGGAGGTTGTTTTTCTTGATATTGTTCTCTGTGGTTCCATTTGGCATCGTCCCAAAACGAAAAGGGGGTGACATTGACATCGGATACTGCAGCTAATTTAAAAAAAGGTGGAATTACACATTGTTAATTTATAAAAGTCTAAGCTGCAGAGATGTTGCTTGTTTTCTTTTCCCCTCCTGCTCCTTCTCTTCCTAATTCTCCTTCTCCTACTCTATTTCTTCTTCTTTTTCTTCTTCTTTTTCCTCTTCCTCTTCTTCTTCTCCTTCTTCCTCTTCTTCTTCTTCTTCTTCTTCTTCTTCTTCTTCTTCTTCTTCTTCTTCTTCTTCTTCTTCTTCTTCTTCTTCTTCTTCTTCTTCTTCTTCTTCTTCTTCTTCTTCTTCTTCTTCTTCTTCTTCTTCTTTCTTCTTTTTTTTCTTCCTCCTCTTCTTTTTATATTTCTTATTTTTCTTCTTGTTCTTCTTCTTCTTTTTCTATTTGTTCTTTTTCTTCTTTTTCTATTTCTTCTTTTATCATCTTATTATTAATATTATTATATTATTATTATTATTATTATTATTATTATTATTATTATTATTATTATTATTATTATTATTATTATTATTATGAACTTACACTCAAAGGAGCAGTTGTCACACTGACCTGTTGCTTGCAGCTAAACTACGACATCTGCAACTTGGGCCCAACACATTCTGTGTTCTTCAAAATATATCGAAAAAAAAAAAACACTTCCAAATTGTTTCACGGCCCCCTGACAGCGAACCAGACAACAACATTAAAATGTAGATAACAGCTTATTTGTTAAAATCCGACGTCACAAAATTACAATTTTCAGCTAATGCGACATCTGTTGCAGCCTGGAGATTCGAAAATCTGACATCATTGCTCGAGTATTGTTTCTGATACACAAAGCGCTGCAATAAAATCAATGAAAATTTTTCTGTAAGGTTTTTCTTATCGACTTTGCTAAGAAAGTCTTTTCATACAAATCTGGGTTTATCTAAAGATTTGACACCATGGCATCTAGGACGCTCTGTCGCCCTTCTCAACAGCCAGCAACGAGTATCCACACTGATGGTTCTTCTAGTTTTGCTTTTCCCACAAGTCTTGAAAGGCGTTCAGAGACCGCTGACAATCCACTCCATGAACGATTTCTCAATATCTTCAATTTTACTTGTTATTTCCTCCAACAGATCATTTCTGCCTTGTGCTGTCGTAGTACACCCTCAGATGAGGGCCAGTCAAGTCAGGCTATCCGCCTGCTCATTTCCAAACACGCCTGAATGGCCCAGCGAAAAATCCAAGTGCCTCTCATTACCTGAGACCTCTGTATTGATGCGACCCATTCAATGCGATAAAAAATTTCTCCACCTTCCTGAGCATTCCACTACAAGGGCAATATGTGTGGCTAATATTATCTCTACCCATAGGAACACAGTAACCGCCAAAACCCCCATTCTAATGATGGGCTTGGTTTTGTGGAATGCCAGACTCTCCTCAATCAGTCTTTTCTTCCATACTTTGCAACGAAGCCCCATCTACTCTTTCTGCTCTAGGACACTGACAAATCAATTTATATAATCACAACTTCTCGCCTAAAGCTGTCCTCTATCAGCTTTTTATCATCTGCGGCTTACGTCCCTTCATCCATTCCCAGCATTAAAAAAAGATCTAAAATACAATAAGACATGGTCTATAAAATAAAGGTCTAGTCCTATATGCCTAATACAAATGTAGGCCTGAAAAAGGTTCTGTAAGGACAAAGTAGAGGTTTGCTTAGACTTGGCGAAGTATTTTGTGAGCTTGTGCCCCTGGACTGCTTCGGTAGCCATAGAATCTCATTAGCTGATTGGGATGGACCAACAGGACAACCCGCAGATCAGCTTACGGTCCAGGAGTCACTGATTGAAGAACACTGTTATAGTGGGCAGTCTGTGCGTTGTATTCTTCTTCTTCTTCATCCACCAGCTGTAGGCTAGGCGGAAGTCCAGGTTTTTCATCCATTTGGACTTGTGGCTTTGGCCACGGCTTGCATTGTGCGTGTACACGCTTTTACTGGCTTATGTGTGTGCAGTTGGTCTGCCAACGAATCCTCTCTGTTTGTCAGGTGCGCAGGTGTCATGGTCAACGTCCCGTAACACTGCGTGCCGTTGGGTCACCAGTTGTTGACTGATCAGTTCTTGCCACCTTTGAGGGTTTTGTGCAAAGAACGTTATGGTTGTATACTTGAGTTCTGTTTCTCAAGTTCTGTTTCTGTGTCTTTCTTGATCTGTCACTTTTCCTCTTTCCCTCTACTGGGTCCTGCAGTATTGTTTTTGGGACGTCGTTAGATCTTATTGCATGTCCGTACCATCGCATTTTCTGCCTTTTACCTCTCGTTAAAAAAGGTTCATAGTGTAAAGAGCTGAACAATGACTGTTCTTGAACATTTCTGTATTCCATGCAGTGCAGTGGAACTAATTATGTATTAGCTGTGGAGATTTTGCATTTAAAGCATAATGGCCCCTTTGTATCACAACCTACGTAGCTGTAATCAAAGCTTAGACACCACAATACACACGTTTAGGAAAAGTCTCTTATGCTAACCTGATTAGTCTTGAGAGTAAAACCTCACGAAGCATGACTGTGCCGTTTAGAGGTCAAGATAGGGGGCATTATGAAAAACTTCTCACTGGAACAGTCAGTAGAGGCACCTTAAAAGTGATGATGTAAAGGAGGACTTGGTCCTTATGGCAGTGACAAGTGTACAAGGAAATTGACTGTCATAATAATAGCAACAGAGTAATGAGACATAATTATAAAACAGAACATCCAATTATCTTAAATGATGAAGCAATAGAGGAAGTTGAAGAATTTATATACCTCGGAAGTAAAGTTACTCTAGACGGAGATTCTGAAAACAATGTAACATCAAGAATAAACAAAGCAAATCAAGCATTTGCCATTCTTAACAGTATATGGAAGTCAAACGGATTTAGTTCGAAGACAAAACTCAGAATATACAAGAGCAACATTTTAGGAATACTGTTACACAACAGTGAATGTTGGAAAGTGACAGCGGGAATTACACATAAACCTGAGACTTTTCAAAATAAATTTGTAAGGAGAATTCTACGAAAAACAAGATCACAGATGAAGAACTGAGGGGAAAAACTGAATGTGCATCACTGGCAAATGTTATCAAAGTAAGACGATGAAGTCGCCTGGACATGTTTGCAGAATGCCTTGTGACACTCTGGCAAAAACAGCTCTCCGGTGGACAGCAGATGGGAAAAGGAGACGTGGACGACCTAAAGAAACCTGGACAAGGAGAATAGAACGGGAAATAAAGGAATGTAAACTGACATGGGATACCATGGGCAGAAAAGCAGCAGACATTTGTGAATACCTTATGTGTCAACAGCGACATGAAGAGGATATAGATAGAACAGAATAACAGTAACACACATTGAGGATATGAATGTTGGTTTACCTTCCTGTCATGCATGCCGGTTAAGTCATGGTACTCCTCTTTGGTGATCATGAAAGCTGCCAGATTGGCTGTGTAGGATGCAGTGAACACCAGCGCAAACAAGGCCCAAATATTGGTCACGAACTTGCTAGATACGCCCCTGGGCGTGTCCGTTGTGACTGCAGCACCAAACAGCATGGCCCACATCAGCCAGAAAGTACGGAATAAGGAAAATTTGTATGCTGAAGAAGGCAGAACATTACACGATTTAAAAAAAATGTATTTGTTAATTCTAACTTAAAATTTAGTTTTTCATCTTCTTCTTTGTGTTCACGGACTGTAAATACCGGCGGAAAGAGCTGGTTGTTCATCCACCTATGGACTTTGGTATTTTCCTAGAACTTGGTTGAGTTAATTATTTAATTAATTAACACAGTGTCGTCTTCGCTTGGGCGTGTAACATTTGTTTCAAATCTAACTCTCTGGTAATACATTCAAATTGTCTTTGTCCATTTCCTAACCCTCTGTTGCTAACAGTTCCAGACCCATGTGGTAGATTGGTTCAGTACGGTGCAGGTCTTCCAAATGCCGCCCCTAACAAATTCGCGCTGTCAGATTAAGAGTTCTAACTGTATTTTGATTTCGCTTTTTGTGCGGATCTCTGCTTAAGGTGCAACCTGATGAGTTGGAATGCTCTTTCATTTCTTGTCTACAGCAGTATTTCATTCTTTCCGCACCAAGCGCATATATAGTTTAGTCAGTTTTATTATCTTTGAAGGTTTTTAATTTAGGTAATAAATGTGTGGGCCAGATTATCAACATCATTGTCATCAGCAACACAAATCATTTTGTCGTTAAGGGTTGTGGGGAGAAATAATTTGCGATCAACTGCACCTGGCTGGTATTGACTATTGTCATGCTGTTAAGGCGCAGTGTCTTTAATGGGTTTTTTTTTTCCCGTTACCTTTTATCTAGCTGATCTAAGATGCAGTGCGTGTGATTATATTTGATGTTGCTGCATTCTAACGAGATGGCCAATAATTTGTTCTGCTGTATTTCGATTAGGCTAGTATAAGGTGTTGTTCACACAATATGTCTGACAATTATCATTTTTAACTAGTTTTCAATGGTTGGTTTCGTAAATTTTATCAGGCATTTTATCTGACAAGTGGTGGGTCAGATAACTTACTGATTTAGTGAATTCCTCTTTGTTTACCAGCGGCGTCCGTGGCTTAGGCGTTGCGAGTCCGACTCGAAATTGCAGCGTACCGCGATCGAAACCCATTGCTAGCTGCGTGGATTTTTATCATGGAATAGGGTCATCGCATGTCGACCCAGCCTAAAATGGGTACCAGGATGTATGTCCTGGGAAAGTAAAGACGGAAGGCGTAATGCTGACCAAATTACCCACCTATTGCCGATTGGACTGAAAAAATATGGCAGTCCCATATGCCCGATGCGCATAAAGGCGTGAAAATGAATCTTTACTTTACTTACTGTCATGTTTACCAGATGTAAGTTCGGGGGTAAAGTCCTGGTTGTTCGTATATTTTGACTTTGGCTTTGTGCCAGGGCCTGAGTTTTGGATAGACATTCCTTCTAATGGCTTATTGTATGCACTTTGTTGTTCCTTATCGCTCGGGCAGATGCACTCTGACTTCAAAGGAAGTAAGTACCCAGTTAGTCGACTTCTACGACATGCTTGTTGAGGGAGTAGTGCGTCATTCTTGTTTTCCCCCACAAGGAGGCCCGGAACCCACAAGAAGAGATTTACTAATTGTAGATTGGACATCTTATATACCGGGCAAAACCATAGATGATTTGTCTACCGAAACAAATGTCCTAAGGTATAGATGCTAACTGTTCCCGTAGCAAAAAGATTATACACTGTCATTCTTTGTGCAATATCCATATCTAACTTTTCCTTCACGCATTGTTACACATGTTTTTAATCTAATCTCGTGTCTTCTATAGACAGTCATTTTGTCTGGTACGAGTATTCCTGTAGCTATCGCTTTTGTAGCCAGAAAATCCGCTATTTCATTTCCTCCCATTCCTCCATTTCCAGGAAATTGTCTCCACCCGGGTCCCTATAAATTTTGAGTGCTGATGCTTGGTATCCACTCGTGCCACATGTGTCCATTTTGGCACTACCGACTGAGAATCATTAACTATAATTCATCTGGTGACTCTGCTACCACTTTAGAACTGCAGTGTTTGCCTGCACGTCCATCCTAGTGCTTATAGATATTTAAAAAAAAAAAATAATAAACCAGTTTGTTTTGTCAAGATCTTTTCCTTCACTACAGCTGAAACAGTCCAGCCTAATTTTTCAATACGACTAAGTAACTATCAGCGTACACTATTGGATCATCAAGCTCAGCGTTTGCGGTATCGGTTGTTGCTCAGCGGAGTATCCATCTTTTGTCATTTGCATTTTTTTTTTTTCATGGGCCTTCCAGGTTGTGTGAATTGTATTGTTTTCTTACCATAGGTAAAAGTAAATTAAATGAACATGCCTTCGGGCTTACTGGACATGTAGGGTTTTACCTATATTGTACAGACCATGGCTATTGAACCAAGTTTACCTAGGGGTCAAAATTACAGGTCAGATATCCGAGTGCCAGCATAGAAATATCATTGATATATTAAAATGTGCAGGCCACTAGCAAGACCTCCCGGGCCTGATTTGATCCCTAGGTCTCCAATTAAATAGACCTGTTGAATTGCTGTTGATGGATCAGTTTCTCCCAGCTTTGACGGTCAGGTACAAAGGACTTCATTCTTGCATACCTTAGGCCCGTCCAGTCAATCATGTGCTGAATCCAGGTCTTTGTCGTTCTTCTTCTTCTCCTCCTTTCTTTTACTGAGCCCGGTAGCATTTATTTTAAGAGGTCGTAAGATCTTATTACATGTCCGTTCCATCGTATTTTTTGTCTTTCACTGCAGTTAAAAGAGGTTCATGGTGTAAAGGGTTGAAGAACGCTGTTCTTGAACATATCTGTATTGCGTTTATTTTATTATAAGGCTTGGTCAATACATACAGTTGTATAGCATATCAGTATGTAACATTTCATAGCAAGGGAGATTTTAACCCCAAACAAATAGAAAACTGGGGAGAGAAAGTTGACAGAAACTGAAGTAATAAACAATTAGCTACTTTAACTACTTGTTATTTTTTCTGTGGCTCTTTCAAGGGTAAAAAAAAATACTGTGTGTTGGTGCTTATGTTAAAAACCAAGAGATTTACCTGAGAATTGTTAACGATGAAAAAGTGATAAAGTAGTCAATTTTGTCTCCATTGTTGTTGATAAAAGGCACATTAGTTTAGGCCCATGTTGTAGGCCTAAACTTCTTTTTTGTATTCTTCTTTGCGTTCCCCGGCTGAAAATCCAGGGCAAAGTTTTAGGAGTTCATCCACTTCCGGACGTCAGACTTATTCCAGGAGCTTTTGCCTGCACATCCGTTTCACAGACCTGGCATAATAGTATGCAGACAACTGGTTCCTTGCCGCTCAGGCAGATGTACTCCGACTTCAAAGGATGCCCCCACCCCCCCCCCCCCCCCCCCCCCCCCCCCCCCCCCCCCCCCCCCCCCCCCCCCCCCCCCCCCCCCCCACCCACCCCCCCCCCCCCCCCCCCCCATTAGTCGAATCATACGACATGCTTGTTAGGGAGACAGTATGTATGTTTCTGTTTTCCTCAAAATGGGGCCCCGGAACCCACACGGGCAATAGGACTACACAGATCCAGTTATCAGTGTTCGTTTTCCTGGTTAATGCTAGATTTCTATGAGTCTTATTTTTAGCTAATTAGTATTTATACATGTACACTTACTGGAAGACAGTCTACGTCCATGGTCGAGGCCATTAGGGCTGAACCACTCGAAGAAAAAAATAGAGGCTCCAGTGATGTGAACACTGCAGACAAGTATGATGCACCAGGCAGGATAGTCGTAAGGTTCTGGAAATAATATACATTTATAAACTGCATCCTTTAAACGTTGCTAGAGCGAACATATATTTAAACCAAATATGGGAATGGAACATCCGTGCCTAACAATGCTATGTAGTTTACTTTATTATATTCCATGCGATGCGGCGTCCGTGGCTTAGGCGTTGCGAGTCCGACTAGTGATCCAGCGTACCGCGATCGAAACCCACTGCTGGCTGCGTAGATTTTTATCATGGTGTGGGGCGTTGCAGGTCCACCCAGCCTAAAATGGGTACCAGGATGGCTGTCCTTGAGAAGTAAAGACGGCCGGCGTAATCCTGACCACATTACCCATCCAGTGCCGATTGGTCTTTGAAAATGTAGGACGCTCTTCCCATACTTCCCCCACAAAGGGATCTTGGCTTTGCAAAGTAGGTCATAGTCTATACCTAGACGCTCGTCGTTGTGGAGAGAGCCGCTATGGTGATGTGCCTAGATGTTCGTCGTTGTGAAGAGAGCCGCGTTGGTGATGTGCCTAGATGTTCGTCGTTGTGAAGAGAGCCGCTTTGGTGATGTGCCTAGATGTTCGTCGTTGTGAAGAGAGCCGCGTTGGTGATGTGCCTAGATGCTCGTCGTTGTGGAGAGAGCCGCTTTGGTGATGTGCCTAGATGTTCGTCGTTGTGAAGAGAGCCGCTTTGGTGATGTGCCTAGATGTTCGTCGTTGTGAAGAGAGCCGCGTTGGTGATGTGCCTAGATGCTCGTCGTTGTGAAGAGAGCCGGGTTGGTGATGTGCCTAGATGCTCGTCGTTGTGAAGAGAGCCGCGTTGGTGATGTGCCTAGATGTTCGTCGTTGTGAAGAGAGCCGCTTTGGTGATGTGCCTAGATGCTCACCTGTTGGCCTGCATTTCTTTAGTTCGACTCACCATCGAAAGTGATTTTTTTTTTAATGACCCCTGGCTCCAAGACCCACTCAGACTTAAATCGGAACCCGTTAATGCCCTGGAAGGTAAAGGCGACAGGCATGATGTTGATTATATCATCAACTAAATGCTGATTAGTCTATATAAATCTGAGACTAGCACCATATGTCTCAAGCGGTACTGTCGTAAAAAGGGTCCCTACTTAATTACTTCGCTTAAATCGTTGGACAAATATTGACACCATTGAAAAGCATAGTAAGTACATTTTAATTATGTCAATATATCCCTACTTTAGTTTTCTTTCCGCTTTACTGGGTGCGGATCAATACCTTTAAATGTAGTTTCTAAAGCCTGCCATAAAAAAATTAAGTTTGTGCGCAAAAGCACTACTTATGAGATGAGATGCCTGAGAAAAACCGCCAACCTAACCATCCGAGATTGAGTTAATAATTATATTATCAAATCGATCGTGGGAAAGCCATCTTGTAGTAGATTCCTCGACAAACAACAAATCAATTGGTTTAGCCGTCTCGTTAGAACGCAGAAACATCAAATACCATCACATGCACTACATCTCAGAAGATACAGCTACAAGAACAAGAGGGTGGCAGCGAAATACACGGATCGACAACATTAAAGACCCTTTACGCCTCCACATCATTACAATAACCAGTACTATCCAGCGTGCACTTACTGCAAAATATTCCTCCCTACACCGCTTAACGGCAGAAGTGGTTTATAATTATGATGATGACGATGATCACAGCAAGTTAGTAAACATGGAGATGAGATGCCTGACCAAAAGAGATGCAATCAGAAATGAAGCTTTAAGAGAAAAAGTCGCTACAGAACCAATTCTAAACTGCACACAAAGACATCAAATAAAATGGTTCGCCCACAAAGACGTAATGACCTGAGAGATCATACAATTCAATGAGTTTACCAAAGAAATTTAAAAAAAAAAAAAAATACATAGAATACAGTGAAGATCAAGAACAAGATGGAAAGCTCAAAGGCTCGGAATGCTGAAGAAGAAGAAGAATGAGACTTTTAAGAACGCATCATGCAAAATGTACCTAACATGATTTTTCTGCAATCATCATAGAATTCAAGAATTATATTCCTCTGCCGCGCAATCTAGATGACTTACAACATTTGCAGATTGTTAATTTTTTTAGAAGAGGCGCCCACAGCATATTTTAGAAACAATACTTCTGGGTTACCTAATCAAACATGTTTCCAATTGAATCACTCCCATGCGCCAGTAAATACTAGGCTCTTTTCACACGAACCAAACATTCATTTCAGATTTATTTCGCACTCAATCCAGTTTTGAATAATGCGTAAAACTGTGCAGTTTTTGAACACTGGCAATTTGAAGCCGAGAAAATAGTTCACAAAACTAGAACGTAAATTTTTTATATTATTATTACTGTTGTCTAGAGATCCGTGTGATTTTGACTGACAGTGTGCAGTTTGGATTTTGGCAACAAAATCGGATATTTCCAAACGATTGGATCTTAATCTGTGAGGATATCTGAGTTCATTTGGCGATGCTGGCAACCAGCGGTTGATGGCTTTCAAACAGGCTATAAGAAATTCTCTGGGAAGCTAATATAGTTTTTGTTATTATCGCGGCCAAGCGAATTCTAAATTATTTTCTCTCCTGAAATGAAAGTGTCACAATTTTTTTTGAAAAAGTATGCGTTGTTTGCGGCCACACTGGCTTACATGGAGAATGTCTTTATTGAGAGCGAAACGGATCCGAGATTGAGTCAAGCAGGGCGTATTACAAGAGAGCTATCATTATATACTTCCCAAAAAGACACCCAAAAAAAAAAAAAAAACGCTGTAAGGAACATACATGCTCACAATTTTGACATTCTGCATCTTTGTAATGCAATAAATGAAATTACTCAAATTTCACACAAGAATAATTCGAGGTTCCAACAATCAAATATGACGCCTTTTTTCTTAAATCTGAGTCACTATAATTTTTAGGCGTACGGCCTTTCCCGTTAGTATGGTCTGTGGTCTCTTCTTGTGTGGATCAGTGACTGGCATGTCCTGGGTAGGAACACCATCAGATGTTTGATGCGGGTGATATGGCTGCCAACGCTTCCTGTAGTGCCTGGCACAGATCATGACCGTTGGTTGGAGCAACGTTTTGGCGACAAACACGTCTTTGCAGCTCATCCCAAATGTGCTCAGTCGGACTCATGTCTGCAGACAGGGATGGCCAGGAGAGGGTTTGAATGTTATTGGCAGCCAGGAACCGTGCAGAATGGAGTTTGACCTTGTTCCGATGAAGATAATATCGGCATCCCAAAATGGAAGGACATGCGGTGGAAGAATTTCATTGAAGTCAAGCTTCCTTCAATGGCACCAGCTGACTCCTTCCGTTGTAAGTGATCATTCCCCACACCACTGCATCTCTACCACCGAGCAGCAGAGCTTAATAAACACAATTTTGGAATAAACCTTAATTTTACCTACCGAAGACCCTACGCTGTCTATCATAACGCTGCAACAAAAACAAGAATTCGGCACTAAACCAGATAAGTCTCCCCTAATTGTCAACTGCCGAAGGACAATGTTGTTTGGCCTAATGTAGTCAATTATGGCGGTGGCGACGCGTAAGGGCAGGTCCTCGGTGTGGTCGTCGTGCCCAAAGTCCAAAGTCATGCTGTCTGTTCCGAAAAGTTTGATCAGACACATGACATATTAGAGGCAATGCCTGAGCAGTGAAAGAAGCTGTTGTTGGGAATGAAGCCGATTAAAGCGATTCTCTGCTGCCGTTGTCACTCTGGGTCGTCCACTGCCATGTAGGTTTTCATCTGAGCCAATGGCTTGGAACCGGTGCCAAAGTCGACTGATGGTACTCTGATGAACGTTTAGATGCCTGCCAACCTGACTTTACTTTCTACTGCCTGCAGTCGGCCAATAGCAACATTCCTAAAATTATCGATAGAGGCGACATATGTGACTGCTTGAAAATGAACTGAATGTTTTGGTGTAGCATTATCCTCTTTAAATGATTCAGTAGGCAGTGAATAATGTTCACTCGAAACTGTCTTGCTTTCTCGTGCCAGCATCTTTTTGAGCAAGCAGCAAACAGGGACACCCCTGTAATCTTGAGAAAATACACGAGCCTGACCAAGCACCAATTAAAAATTACCTAGTGTGTAAGTAGGTGGAGACTGAGTCTGACTTCGTGACTTGTTCCCTGCCTGCTATTTCGTTACACTCTAGCATTCACTTAATGGGTTCTGAGGGTAGCTTACCGTTTTTTTTTTTCCGCTGACTTCAGCAAAAAAAAAATCCAATATCATCAACTGTTAATAAACTATACCATATTACGGAAAGTGATGACAACAATGGCCCCAGAATCCTTTGCTTTTATTCAGAAAGATATGATTTTTACGCCTTTCTTCGGGTCTATCATGGACACAAATAGGGAATGCGTTAGCGCAATCGTTAAGAGGTCCCATAAATGACATACAGTATTACAGAAATCACAAATAGTATTACAGATATCACATATGGTATTACAGATATCACATATAGTATTACATATATCACAAATAGTATTACAGATATCACATATGGTATTACAGAAATCACAAATAGTATTACAGATATCACAAACAGTGCTACAGACATTCAACAATCGCCTTCAGTTAACAGCATCACACACAACAGACCTAAGAATGCTGTTGTAGAGATGGCCCCATCTCGGATGGCAACCATGAAGGTGATTCCTGTTTCCATATAGGGGACAGAGAAGTCGATGGCCTTGCTTCTGTCTTCATCTATTGTCATAGAGGCTACAGCCATGTCCGCCTTTCCTGACCTCAGGTCTCCGACAATTCCGTCCCAGGTCCCGTCTGGAAACTGTCAATGAGTTATTGTAACGTTACACGACTGTTACTTCAATATGCTTGTGTTAATTATAAATTATCCTCGCAAATATAAAATAATTATCAAGATTACTGCCATTCCCACTACCAACGTTACTATTGCTGATGCTGCTGCCTCTATAACTATTGCTGCTATTGCTGCTTCAGATACTACTACTGCTGCTGCTGCTGCTGCTGCTACTACTGCTGCTGCTACTACTATTACTACTACTAACTAATACTAACTACTAAATACTACTACTACTACTTACTACTACTTACTACTACTACTTACTTACTACTTACTACTTACTACTGCTGCTGCTAATGCTGCTGCTACTGCTACTACTACTATTACTACTACTGCTGCTGCTGCTACTGCTACTACTATACTACTACTACTACTACTACTACTACTACTACTACTACTACTACTACTACTACCACCACCACCACTGCATTTGCCAGTCTTCTGAGTTCGCCATCACATGTGTTTGGACGGTGTTTTGTGGTTTACAGCTAGACTGCGCTTTTAGGCTCAACACATCTGATTTCAGCATACTCCTAATTAGGTGCCTAGAACAACGTGCTTTTTGGGAGCTGCTTCTACTATTCGAACCAAACAGATCTAAGAATGCTGTTGTAGGGATGGCTCCATCTGGAATGGCAAACACGAAGGTAATTCCAGTGTTTCATGTAGGGGACGGGATCTCTTCGTGACGTTGGCGGTTAGACGCCCGCTTGCGGAGCGGAACGTTGTGGGTTCGCGTTCTGATGGAGCCGGACTTTTTTCAAAAATGGCTCAGGTCGATCTAGCCTTGAGTGGGTACCAGATACAATTCTGTGAAGAAAAGGCGGTCGGCATGATGCTGACTACATCACCCACCAAGTGCCGATTGGTCTCTAAAAATATACGTCTAGCCCTATATTCCCAATAGGCCTAAATGCGTGGAAAAGGGTCCTTTACTCTGCCGGGGTGGGAGAAATTAACATGACTTTTAGTACCATGGTAATATGTATTTTGTTATGATTGCCGGCACTTTTTGTTTAATTTAACTATGTGGTGACTAACTGCATCTTTTTCTAGAAAAAGAGCCCTGCTTCTTCATCTACATCTTTGTATCCGCCCAAACCCCATCTACTTACTTTGGTACCCCACTGGTAGTCTTCCACTTCATACAGGACAAAGTCAAAGTTCAGAGTCTGGGACAGTCTGTGAAGGAAATCAATGCTGAGGCCTGTACAACATCTCTTTACTGTCACGTTGGAGATTCTGCAAGGAAAGAAATCAACCGAATGGCATCAGATTCATTTTCATTGATAAACTGGCATTCGATTTCCAATGTCGTCTATATCACCCCGGTCTTGTTTACTCCATGGGGCCTTCCATAGTTCCCACTTTATGCTTGTTGACCTGCACCTTGTAGGTTGTAGATAAAAGGGTGGGATACGAAACCAAGACCTTTGGAATGGCATCGAGTCGATTTTCCGAATATTTAATCTATTGACAATAAGCAACTGAGAAAAAAAAAAGAATGTGGGCTTCTGCATCTGCCCAAGCTAAGTAAAATGTAAAGGTCCTTTTTCATGCCTTTTGGCGTATCAGGAATATAGGGCTAGACCTATTTTTAAAGACCAATCGGTATTTGTTGTGTGATGTGGTCAGCTTTACACCGATGTGCCCTAGGTGAAATCATTAAATAAGAAAGGCAACCGACTCCACGTAGCAACTGTGGTTGTCGTATGTATGGAACCTTGGTGCCACGGAGCTGGCATGTCGTGCTTTGTATGACCTACGGGGGAAGACTTGGTGACTTATAAAATGTTTGCAAAAGAAGATGACCATCCACGAAATCTATAACAACCATACACCAATGTCAACACGATTTGAGTTCATTTGGTGGAAACAGCTTAACAACTGGTCGAGTGGCCTCACTGAACACCTGATTCTGTCCTCTAGAAGGTGTGAATTTATCGGTCTTTGGCAACAACAAAATCAAAACCTGTACAGTTCGTAGCTACTTCACTAGCCAGTTACCTTGAATCCGCAGGTTCATGACCTCGCCCCCCCCCCCCCCCCCCCCACTATCCTTCATCTTTAGTAGCCTTAAAAGTGCTGCATGCAGGCAGCAAAGACAATTGTTATGTGAACTGCTAATGTAATAAAACAGAAATGTTACAATGTTAACTAAATGTTATACAAGACTTTTAATACACAACAGACTGTTAACAAAATTGTACACAAAACACTATTAACACAATTTTGCATAACGAACTGTTAGAAAAAAAAAAAAATATACACACAACAGACTATTAGGAAAGAAGGCTATTTCAAAACTCGTGCCCTGACACTTGAAAAAAATATCTCACAAACTCCCCTACGGATCAACACGATTTGTTGCACTTCGCCTTAGATTTCGCATGTCCTTACGATTTTATAATTTACGATGTCACAAGAGCAGCCGTTTTCGGCAAATGTTTTCGATATTTGTTTCACTAATAGTTTTTTTTTTTTTTTTTTAACCTTTAAAAACTCATGTGTACAGTAACAGACAAACGTGTAGAGATTGTTTGGAAATCACTGCATTTGTGCTGCAATGCGTGGTAATTATTTTCATAGCCTATCTGGCAATGAATTAAAAACCACTGGTGACGGATGCTCGAGATAACCACCTGAGAGTAAAACCCCTAAGATGAGACCATCAGGTGGGCTGCCTCTGTAACACGCATATCATTAGCAGGTCCTTCATGGTTCCACATAGCTTGCTCTTCACACTTAGCTCTTGAGGCCAGGTGTCTTTTCGAAATTGTAGGTAGAGTGGGCAGGTCTGCAGAAAGTGCTCAGCTGCTTGTGGTCCTGTTTAACTGTACAATCTTTATTTTATGCATTTGGTAGTTGAGCCTGCAGTGTCCTGTTCGTAGACGGAAAATTGTTGTATGTTGCTTTCTGTTGAGTCTGCTGATGGGGTCATGTGGATCTTTATGTGTAATTTTATGTTTTTTTTATGTTTACTTACGTTGCTGTGAGGATTCCGACTGTTTTGCTTGAATCGGTGTCCGTTTATTTTTATTTTAATTTTTTTTATTTTTTACGATAACGCAAATAACGCAAAATATAAACTAGATGTTTGTCTACATTTAAAAGAAAAATCTTACCAGGATATTGATAGTGACAGGTTGCGAGTCAGATTCCAACTTAAACTGGATGTTTTCTGAGTTACAGATTTTCAAAAGTTCGGAAAAACTTCCGGAACGGAATGCAACAGTTTTACACAACAGACTCTTAACACAGTTTTACACAATAGAATGTTAACTAAATTTTACACAACAGACTGTTAACACAATTTTACACAACAGACTCTTAACACAGTTTTACACAACAGACTGTTAACTAAATTTTACACAACAGACTGTTAACACAATTTTACACAACAGAATGTTATCACAGTTTTACACAACAGACTGTTAACACAATTTTACACAACTGACTACTGACACAATTATGCGCAAGAGACTATTAACACAGTTCTACACAACAAACTGTAAACACGATTTTACACAATATACTTTTAACACAATTTTACATATCAGTCTTTGAACACAATTTTACACAAAAGACAAAATTTTAAACAGAAAACTTAACAAAAGTTTAACTCAACGAACTTAGCAAAATTTTAAACAACAAACTTAAAATTGTACACAACAGACTATACACGAAACTCGTATGTCCTTATAGGTTCCATGCCAGTTCCCGCTGAAGCAGAAGCGAACGAGAGTCAGTTTCTGCCTGCAATGGCTAACAAGGTACAAGAAAATATTTCCACAAAAGGGACGACAGTACATGACACTTCGTTTCACCATTATAAAAAGTTAAAAAAAAAAGTAAAGTTCCCTTTTCACGCCTTTCGGCGCATCGGGCATATGGGCAGAGCGTCCCATATTTTTACAGACCATCAGCACTCTGTGGGTAATGGTTTCACCATTATAGTCCTAGCTTAAAAAGAAATCTATCAAAAAATCTCATCCCAGTGAAAGACGCAATTTTTCAAACAACACAGCTGAAGTCGTGGACCATAATATAACCTAACAGTTTAACGGGGTTCCTGAGACTTTTGTCCGGGTGATTTTTATCCGAATGGTGGCACTTTGTGCCACCTGGTTTTGTCGTTTGTTATCCGGTCATGGTGGGGTTAAATGGCACTAGGTCATCCTTAGATTAAATTGTCAGTATGCACTCGAAAGACTAAAATTCTCAACAATTTAGTCAAGCCTGTAACATAAAAAATAATGTTAGTTTACTGAGGGCCAGTCATTGTTAAAAAAAAAAAAAAAAAAAATCCCATCTTGCGGCAACATAGCTACTGTGTGCATCTTTCAACAATAAGGTAAAAAAAGACTATCAGGCCAAAAACGCAGGAAAGAGCAAACACTCAAAATCTCTCTTGCTTCATGACAGTACACAGCTCAAGCAGATAGCAATCAAATTGCTCTTCACACCCACACTATTACTTATATTAATCCCGCTAGACATTTGAAAGACATCACAGGCGAAATATGTGTGTCCATATCGTAGAAGTCAAACTGACACGCCAGTACTGGTTCAGTAGTTCATTTTCTTGAATTTTCATGTATATGAGGTCTTTCGGCGCAGAAATCGTAACAGCTCAATTGATACCAACTTTCCAAGTTAAAGGACAAATTTATAATAAAGCTGGATCCCAGATAGTCAACATAAATTCTTCTAAATGTATTTCATCGCTGATAGCAGTGATGAACTGAATGCACGCTGCAGAATTTCTGAAGGCATTAAGAGGTCCATCGTTTCCCAGCTGCAAAAGCTTCTTCACGAAAAAAAAATTGTGTGCGTTTGTTTAAAACAGCACTTCCCATGATGCCATCTGATACCCACTCGATTGTTTTTCATGCAGACAAAACGCCTGCTGGAGAACATGTGCGAAGATTCAATGTTCCAACTATACACGAAGTGACAATTGTTTTAATCGGAGATCAGTTCCAACCTACAGCTATTGTCCTTCATCGGGGAAACAATCAACTGAAAAGTTGCAGAAACTCATCGATACTAAGATGCCTTGCAATATCCAATCATTTCTGCGATACTGCCGATGGATATCACTTAAACGTTAAGATGATAAATCTAGTCAGTGGCTAAGAAACAAATAGGAAATGCAGTGCAATAAACTATTATTCATACCGACTAATGATTCGAGAGAGTGAGGACAATCATATTTTAAACTGTGGTCAATTGTTTCACAAATACATCGTAGATATGTATGAAAAAAAAAATAGAAACAGAATGTTTGATATTCATCCGTTTGAATCACACCAAGCTTGGCTGTGAAGAATGCGTTCATCTACGAGGTGTAGTTGTCAATGATGGCAATACAGCTAACGTTGGAAGACTAACGATTTTGCTGTCTTCATATACAGTTAGTCCACGTCATATGCATGAGTACCCTCAAAATGCAATCGCATATGTTGGTTGAGTTGAGTCAAGAATTGACATCACAGCACTCAGGACGTTCCTATGCATGCTCCGCCCTATCTTCAGCAGCCAGGGCAGAGTTCCGATACTGACGGTACCGGTCACAATCTGGTTAAAAGTCCCTCTTGCCTTTCCCCTGAGTGCAGTGAGCCGACCAGACCTTTGGTTACACCCAGGTGTCTCATTCTCTGGAGGCCGTAAAAATCTTCTTTCTCTACTGATTCCGTTGCTTGTTACCAAAGGGCCTTGACCACATCTGCCTTGTCATGTATCAATTCACCACCAAGTGGTGCGGATCCAGCCAATCTGTCTGCCTGTTCATTAGTTACCACGCCGCAAATATTTATCACTACGGCCGCCCAGACATATTCATTACACTCACATGCAATCCAGCTTGGGAAGATTTACAACAGATTTTACTTCCTGAACAATCGCTGCTGGATAGGCATGACAACACAGCATGTGTTTTCAAACAGAAGCTGAAATCACCGATGAATTTTATGGTTTGACATTAAGCTTTTGGGTGTGTGTGCTGCTGGATGTACTCAGTGGAATGACAAAACGAGGACTGCCACACGCATATATACTAATCTGGCTTTACAACAAAATCACTTCTAACGAAATCGACTATGTAATATGCGCTAAAATACCTGATGCCGACATAGATAGGGAATTTGCATCAAATTGTGACTAAAAATATTATACATGGACCTTGCGGTACACTGAATACAAATTTAACATCCATGATAGACGGGAAAATGCTCTAAGCGACATCTTCGAGCATTAGTATCCAACACAGCTTCAGCCACCGATGGATATCCTGTATAATTTTTTTTTCTGAGCCACAGCAAAGCGTGGCAGGCTACATATATATTCTATAGGCTTTCTGTTTTTTGGAAAATATACAAAACAGAACAGATATTTAGTTTTCATATCGCATTAAATATATGACAGATTAGCCATAATGAAATATCTGCCATCATGTTTCTCGCATAAACATATTACATATCTGCGAAGATGATAAATTACCTCATTTTGTTCTCATCCCTTTCAAAAACCTGACAGATGTAAGAAAAATGGCCGCAGGTTCCGTTCTGGCTGGCTTCCCTGTATTCCACAAATGGCAGCTCTTCCCTTGTCACAATTCGCAGAACGTGACGTCTCGGTCTCCCCAATGGCGGATGAATTGTTTCACCTGGCCAAGTGATGTGTCTCATTTGAATACCATCTGTTGTAAACTTACCAACCTGAAATGGTATTCTTTAATAGTTATTCAGTGAGAATATTTCTGACGCATATAAACTTTTAAGTTTTGTGGCCTATAGATTAGTGAAATTGTTTCACAATACAATCCTTTACATTTACTAAGGTTTGAATTATCCGAAAAGTGTGTTTTTAAATGGAGGACAAGGGTTAGAAAAAAAAGGCTATTTCTTGTTTTATAAAAAAAAAATGTAAGCTTAAAATTTCGAGTTAAAAAATACAAATTTCAGCAGATTATGAGCTCAACTTGGCTGTGGTGAAACGGATTAAAGGATGGATGGATGAATGAACGGAGGATGGACAGTTGGATGGATACATGTATGGATGGGTGTACAAAGGGAGTGATGGAAGAATCTAGAATTGGAGTCACTGAAGCCGGAACATGTCCACACAAGCTATATCAGTTTGTTGTTGTCAACAAAGAGTGTCCATATCCAGTGCTCCAGCGTCAGAATCTTCCAAAGTACGCTTGTCTTTGATTTCCGTAAATGACGAATGGCGTCCTTGACTGTTTGCTCCTTCCGCGCTGAATCATTATCACTGCGGATGGATACTTTGGCATGTCCACGTGTTCTTTCTCTTGAGTAATTCAACAGAATATTCTAACTGGTCACCTCGGTTTGTGTGAGTGGAAAATATGCGACAGTCTAATATTCATCATCATCAAGGTGTAGGCCCTTTGCAGAACGCCGCTCTCATCACGGTCTGCCCGAAAGAAAGTTGGTATCTAGCCAGCTCTCCTGTCTAGTGTAATTTCATATTCATGTAGTCACTTATATTTTGTGCCCATTTTCGTGCTGCTCGGTCCCTGCCCCTCCTTCATTGTAAAATGCCTTCTGCTATTATTTTTTTCTAAATCGCAATGTCGCTTGTTATGACCATTATATTTCAGCTTCTGAGACACAATACTGTTTATTAGCAAACCTTTCTTGATGTTTAGATCTTTTAAAATCCATTTTTTTTAACGTAAAGAGCAATACAACACCCCAGAAGAAGATGATAAACCATATTGTAATACCAGAGCAGACGCTAAAAGAAAATTACAGAGATAGAGAAGATGAAAGAAATCAAACATTTACGCAGAGAACACTCTGATTTATATGATAAGGATGATTTACCCATTCCTGAAGGACAACAAAGATTAGCAGACAGACTTGAAAGATTACGACAAGCTTATGAAAAAAACTACAGAACTATTACATTCTGATAATCAAGATGCGCGCGCGCGCACACACACATACACACACACACACACACACACAAAACGGCTATCTGCCTGCAAAGATCTTCGCACTAAGCACGAATTCTGCAGCTCCAATGGTAATCCCCTGGATATTTGCAAAATATTGTACTCAGGGGAAGAAGGAGGTAGTCAGTGAGACGAACTCACAACTTTTAGGCGTAAGACAAGCGACCTTTTGCTTTAAAGAATGACTCTCACCATCTTTTTCCGCCGTCCAGATTGGACAGAAAAGTGTTAGTTAATATTGGTTCTTCTAGTAAGTTACCTACATTGTAGTAGTAGCGCGGCGTCCGTGCCTTAGGCGTTGCGAGTCCGACTCGTAATTCTAACCAACCTCGATCGAGACCCACTGCTGGCTGCGTGGATTTTTATCGTAATATGCGGCGTCGCAGGTTATCCCAGCCTAAAATAGGTACCAGGATGTATGTCCTGGAAAGGTAAAGAAAGCCGGCGTAATGCTGACCACATTACCCAAATAGTGCCGATTGGTCTGTAAAAATATGAGCGCTCTTCCCATATGCCCGATGGGCCTAAAGGGTTGAAAAGGGATCTTTACTTTACTTTACTAGTAGTAGTAGTAGTAGTAGTAGTAGTAGTAGTAGTAGTAGCAGCAGCAGCAGCAGCAGTAGTAGTAGTAGTAGTAGTAGTAGCAGCAGCATTAGTACTAGCAGCAGCAGCAGTAGCAGCAGCAGCATTAGAGGTAGCAGCTGTAATTTATGTGCCATGGCACTCTGGGGTAAGAGGACATGAACGAGCGAATTAGTTTGCTGGCAGGACGAACCGATTTTTTCAGTGCTCTCAAGAAGGCAGGACGAGAAGATGATTCAGAGACGGTGGTGAATCTGCAACATTAAAAAGACCACATGAACTTTAGACCACAAGAGGTGTCGCCAGAACGGAGCATTAAACAGATAGCAAAAGAAAAATAGTAAACCAACAGAGAACTAGTGTTATCGGTTGCCACAGGCTGCTACATATACCGAAGAAGACGTCCGCGCTTGTGGTTTGTCCCATGGGCAACGAGGATAATCTGTAGGTTAACTAAAAAGTTAACTATGTAATAGCATTTGTAGTTGTAGTCGTAGTAGGAGAAAGGGGCCAAGAAGAGGAATAATAGTAGTGGTGAAGGTAACATAGGTGGAGGTTATGGTAAAGGTAGTCTATTCACTGTGCTCATAATTTTTATCAGATATGTGTTACTGTAAAAAAATCCCATGATTATACTACAATCCATATCACTGAGTCTAACAGACGGATGATTTGGTTTTAAAAAAAAAAAACATATCTTGTTACCGTGCTCATAACTCTAGATTTAAAAACAAAAACAAAAATTATCAGGCAAAAATTACAGAATAAGCCATCCGCTCAGTCTACCAGCCAACCAACCTGCCTCCATTTCTGATCTTCCTCCCCGACCATTGGAGGCTGCACGTTGACAATAGTGATGTCCTTGAACTTCAGTTGTCCCAGTTCATTGAATGCCACATTATCAAAGCTGACGTTTCGCATGATGCTAAAATAAAGAGCACGCACAGTTTGTGCTTTCATTAAATTTCAGGGTCTATAGTATATACGTATACTCATATATATATATATATATATATATATATATATATATATATATATATATATATATATATATATATATTATAAAATGAAAAACATCTTGTGCAATATATCCTTGTCATTGAGAGTTAGAAAAAGAATTCTTGCTTGCTACATACATCCAGTTTTAACATATGGATGTGAATCCTGGACAATCGGTAGGCAGGCCAAACAATTTTTAGAGGCCTCAGAGATGTGGTTTTACAGAAGAATGCTTAGAATACCTTGGACAGCCAAAAAGAGCAACCAAGAGGTTTTAAAAGAGGCGGGAGCCCGAAGACAACTTATCACTTACATCAGAAGGAGACAGTCATCATTTTTCGGCCATGTTATGAGAAGAGGGAAAATAGAACATGTTGTGACCACTGGAAAGATCTGTGGAAGAAGGGATAGAGGAAGACAACGAGAGAAGATGCTTGACAGTCTTGTTGCATGGCATGGAGGTGTGTCGGCACACGAACTAATACATGCTGCAGGAGATCGCAGATTATGGAGAGGCATGATCGCCCACGCCAGTCGGCAAGGCCCCTGATGATGATGATATATATATATATATATACAGACAAGCAGGCAGATGACTGACTGACAGACAGACTGACTGATTGAGTGACTGACTGACTGAAGGAGTAACTGATACACAGCATACACATTATAAAAATGGGAGACCAGTAACCAGACATTGCCAGTAGACAGGTCTCGGGCTCAAAGCTGCACCGCTCTATAGTTGTCTAAAATTACCTTGGTCTTGATGTCGTCGGCTCTGTGGCGAAGTCGATGCGAACGCTTCGTAATGCCGGATGCCGGGTTCGATCCCAGCTGCGGGCCATGCGCCTTGCGTTGGTTTCGACAGTGATATCAAGAAAGCCGACCGCTAGAAAGCAATGGCAAACTACTGGACGTACATTTGCCTAGAAAAACCAACAACAGCCAGGTGCTGTTGGGGTTGGTTCTGCAACGTCCTGTAAAGGATTCGCAACTAACCTTCATGTCTATAGAGCAGTGAAATAGGTACAAAGAAATGTCATGGGGAGTAAATGCGGCATCTGTAATTTTGAACACCTCGAACATCTAAACCGTGAAAATACTTACTCGTAAAATTTTGGCCCATCCTCCCAGACTAAAGACTGTCTTGACTGGCAGTTAAAATTCGGCAACGACCAAGGAAGGCCAGTAGGCAAACCACCTGGGGGTGCTGATGCCATTACAGACTGATGAAGTCCACGGAACCACACTGCTACTGCAGTTTTGATGGCTTCTTCCATTTCATCCTCACGATATTCGTAGTAGATTCCTGTGTGACAGATAATAACAGATTCCAGAACTTTATTGCTTAGGAAAAAAATAGGTGAAACGACTAACAAAACTGACTTCTAGTAAGTAAATAGGTTTTTCCCTACCAGGGCATCACACAGAGCGATAAACACCCGATGACACAAAATGGTACCATACGGATGAGGATCACGTGACTCCTTAAGTGGGAACTGCTGGCAAAGATTAAATCAACCTTTTTGTTACGTTTATTGACAAGAGCACTCACGGAAAAGGCCAATTGTTTCTGTGTATATCCCCCAAACACACAGACGCACGCACGCACACGCGCGCGCACACACACTCACACACCGGTATTGTTGAGCTACTCAATCTTAGTTTTTTTTTTTTTTTTGTCTGAATACTTTTCAGTCTGCATAAAACTGGGTAGAGATTGCAACCAACTAGGACCGTTGGTGGTTGAAACAAAAGTGCAAGTCCTAATTTTTGAAAATTCTGCTGACAGAGGTGCAGTTATCTATACTGGCCGATCCGTCATTAAACACGTACAAAGTTCATGTGCTTTCGCGGTTTTGGTTCAAGGGAAAATCTGTAAAAGAAGAAAGCGGGGTTTTTGCCTCAACTACGAATAGTCTGACTATGTAGGTGATTGCGGTTTTTTTTTTTTTTTTTAGTATCCAGAAGCCATGAGTTGTTAACTCTTAGGCGCGGTATTATGAATATCGCAACCGAAAGCCTTGATTCCATTGTAAATACCGTAAATCTGAGAGAAATGTGGCTTTTCTGCCTACACCGGGAGTGAACCCGGACCACAAGGAGTTCGTCACCCGGTCACCGCGCAATCCGGTTTAGCTAACTGCGCTAGAGAGCCGGGCGATTGCGGTAACAAAAGCAATGATGTGGCTATAGACAGCAGCTTTCCAGTGCGTGCTTTCTAAATGATTCCATGAGCAGTCTTAAGAAGACAGAGGCAGGGTGGATTCAAAGAGAATGGTTGGAGTCGCTGATGAAATCTCGTCTGAAAGGATTTAGTTTCATGTGTGTGCCAGGAAATTCTAGGTGTCGCCTACGGATATGCACTAAAACACACCAATACTGACTGAGCAAACAGAACGTCAAAACATTACGTAGTGTTGTTAGGAGATTGGGATCTAGAGGATACGCAGTCGAAAGGTTCAAGAAGGCAGACGTGTGGTCAGGCCTTCGTGGATCATTAAGGAAGTTCTACCCCGGGATTCCACGGAGAAATCTCAGCCTAGAGCTGGTACATTATTGCGTTCTACAGGAAGCAGATTATTTTAAGCTATTGGATCACTCAGTGGAAGAGCTGGCAGAATCAAGAAGAAGGGTCATTGCCCTGTTCTCACGTATCAGACTGTAGATGAATAGGTTCAAAGTAACCGTTTAGACTCTCAAGGTCATACTGTTGACCCGTAGGGAGTCGTTTAGAATATGAAATAGAATATGGATTCTAATATTTCAAGACGAGTGTGAGTGCGCTAGCGAGCGCTCGGGGTACTTTTTTCTTAACCACTTATCACGTTATTGCAAATTTTCATTCCGATCATAGTGTTTGTAATACACTAGTGTTACACTACGTACATGGCCTTCGTCATTTGATTTTCGTTTGGACACCTTGGAGTTGATTGTTATCGTTACGGTTGTCATGTTGCGTCAGGAGTTCCAGATAATGCCTGGTGGTCCTCGATCAGCGTTTCGTTAAAGTAATCTCCGATTATTTTCCCCACATTTGGCTTGTAGAAGTATTATGTTTTATGCTTGACTCGTTGACTTGTGGGAGTCGCCGTGGTGGAGCGGCTAGACGCTCGCTGCGGATTAGAAGGTCGTGGGTTCGCTCCCTAGCGGAGCAGGACTTTGTTTTTTAAATGACCTTGGCTCCCAGGTCGACCCAGCCTTAAGTGAGTACCGGGTGCAGTCCCGGGAAGTAGAGACGGCCGGCGTGATGCTGACCACATCACCCATCTTATGCCGATTGGTCTATGAAAATATAGGTCTAGCCCTATATGCCCTATACGCCTAAAGGCGTGAAAAAGAGTCCTTTACTCTTTTTTTTCTACCTTGACTTGTACCTGATTGCAGGTCTCCCTGGGGTAACATGGGATGAGAGAGCGGATTGGCCCTTTGGCAAGGCCACGGTAGGTATAGGAAATTCAATGGACCGATCCAACATTCTCAATGCTTTCAAGGAGACAGGACGACCACGAATCAGCAACACTCAAAAGACTCCAAGAACTTCAGGCCAAAAGAGGTGTCGCCAAACATGAAAACTATACAGATAGCCAAAGAAGAATAGTAAACCAAGTCAGAACTGGTGTTGTCAGTCACCACACGCTAGGGGATATACTGAAAATGGGATCAGAGTGCTTATGGATTTATCCGATGTGATATGAGAATAATCTTTCAATTAACTAACTTAACTAATTACCAATAAATGCTTAGTGTCGATTTAATGGACTAAATCATCGATATCTGCGTGGCGAGGCCATCAAAGTGGTAACATCAGCAGATTGCTAAAGCATTTTAAAAAGTGTTGTTCGTCATACGAGATGCATAAAGGAGATACAAAACTTAAGTTACAATTAGTTTTTATAGGTTTCATAGTGACCTTGGCTGTTTCTTCCTCTTGTGTTTTCGTTCACCGGTTGTATACTTTAACGAAAAATTATGATTGTTCGTCCGTCTCTGAACTTAAGTTTTTTTTTTTTTTTTTTAAAACAGGATTTTTCGCGTGCACATTCGTTTTACAGATTTGAATTAACTGCGTGCAAACTGTTGCATTTTTGCTTCTCAGGCAGATTCACTCTGACTTCGAAAGAAGCTCCTAATAAGTCGACTGTTACGACATGCTTGTTGGAAAGCTGTGGGTTTATTTTTGTTTTCGCCACAATGGGGCCCCGGAACACACACGGTGACCTTGCTGTTTATAAGCTTTGCTGTCTCGTTTTCTTGTCACAGTTTGTGTCTGAGTACTTTATCCAGGAATACAACACGGACAACAAGATTACTAGCCACAAAAAAGGGAGGGGTGGGGGAAGTATTTTAAAATATATAATGGCAGGAGCATTAAAACGAAAGGAAATAAATTGAAAACAGAAATTTGAAGCCTAGGAAAAATTAGTTTTATATATTTTGTGTAAGACTTCACAAACCAGTCGCAGTGTTTATCAGTAGTTTGTTGTTTTACTTGAAAAATGTACTTTCAGAAACATGAGAGGGGAAACAAACAACAACAACGAAAAGTAATACCGATGGCTGAGTGAGTCACTCGCAAAATGATTGAAATGATCTTTGACTGGTGAGCCAGTCAGCGAGGTAATTAGTAGGGCTGTACCGAATAGTGATTTTCATTATTCGGCCGAATACGAATAGCAGTACCAACTATTAGGCCGAATACGAATACTAATACGAATAGTGTATAGTGTATAAAATATATATATTTAAAAAAAAAACACACACACATTCATAATGTCAAATGTACGCTGAACTTTTACTTCACATAAAGTAGCTCAGAATAGTTATCTTCTTCTTTAGCATTCTGAGCCCTTGGGGTTTACTGTTGCAGATATCATTCGTTTCCATTCATCTCTCTGGCTGGCCTTATCTTCACAATTTGTGACACCAGTTGTTTGCAGGTCTGGCTGGACATTATCTCTCGAACTTCGTTTTTGTCTGCCTCGTGGTCTACGCCCATTCCTCTCTCAGGTGTATACAGTTTTTACTTCTCTGTCATCTGACTTGATTTCAATATGGCCTAACAGTTTTAGTCTGTTAGCTCTCATGATGCCAGTGATCAATGGTAATTTAAACAGATTATGTGTTACGCTGTTGCTTCTCACTCTCCATTACCCGCTGTTAGCATCTTTGATGGGTCCAAAGATTTGTCCTAAGACTGTTTTCGAAAACCTGTAATAAGGCCTCATCTCTTTTATTTCTGCTTCAAGTTTCAGAGCTATTTAAAACGACTCGTCTTATCAACGTTTTATATGTTTTGATCTTGGTGTTGCGAGACAGACACTTTGACTTTAGCAGATGTTAAAGGACATAGTATACTTTATTTCTTGATTGTATTCTAGATTGTATATCTTCTCTCAACATGTTGGAGCAGTTGAAGTTTGCACCCAAGTACTAATATGTTTCCGTTCGTTTGGTTTTTCTATTATCGACTTGGATGTGGTAGGAGTATATGTTCTTTCCATGTTTAGTTAGTATTCGTACAGAATAGTAAACATTTAAAAAACATTTTATGTTTTGCATCCGTCAGTCAGTCTGTGATAACTAATAACTAGGAATGAAAGAATCTTAAGTATTATAACAAGTAACTAAACTTGGAAATTGTCACTGACAGCTTAGTTAATGCATGAAAGCTGCATTAGCTTTCAACAAAACCAATCGTTCTATGTTGTCAGCATGATGAATGTATGCAGAAACGGGTATAAGGTAACTACTTTTCGTATTCGGCCCGACCGCAACTATTCGGCCGAATACCGAATAGTCAATACGTCTACTATTCGGCCCCGAAGTGAATACGAAGCGAATATTCGGTACAGCCCTAGTAATTAGATAACCTTAGAATGAACAGTTGCTGACGAACTTTAAAGATAACAGGCTCGTTGAAAAAAAAGTAAAGTAAATTCTAACAGACAGTTCTTTTGCATTTTTCTTTCCAGACTCTAGTGTTATATTGTGATGCAGAGAAGAGTGGGAATAACAAACAAAGTCATTGATGACGTTTCTCTTCCCCGTGGTACTAAACCTGGGCATAATGCTGAAACCATGTGTTGCCCATGCAGTAGGATCCCTCTCTCTGCCCGCTTTCTCTAAAAGAAAGGTAATACAATACGTTTAGGAATAAACTTACAGGGAGCAAGTACAGCAGGGATCTACCAGTCGTTAGTAGAAATTATCCTCGTCAACGAGCGTTTCGGCCCACGATTCCTAGACGCTTTCGGAGGTGGGCCTACCTGAGTTCATGAAGCTCAGGGCTGGTACCCTGCTGCGCGA